TGTAACATACACATGGGAAACTGGGAAATATTTTCTACTATATAGCCCATTTAGTATTTTTAGGGTAATCTATTCTAGATACTTGATTTTACATCCAGGTCACTACTAGCAGCCCTAATAAACACTTTCTTATTGCTTTCTATTCATCTTTACTTCTATAAATGTAACCAAAGGATTTGGACATAATTGTACTAATTTGTTGTAGTGTACTTTTTTTTTTTTTTACCTGGCAGGATAGGATAGTGTAGTGGAAAGATCGCTGTACTTTGGAGTCACCTGGGAAAATCCAGGTTTTAGTACTAGTTCTAATATTGCTTAGCCGTGTAACTATGGGTGTCGGTTAATGTCCCTCACTTTCCAAATATATAAAATAGAGATGCTATTTGACAACCAACCTCATACAGTTTGTCGAAGAAAGGTCTTTGCAAACTTTAAAGGTTATGTAAGATATGTAGGGTGTTTTGCCCATGGAGGTTAAGTATGTCCATGTGGGTTTTCTCACATGTGTCTTGTTTGGAGGCATGAATAGATATTTCTAGCCTCTTCCATCCACCCTTCCTCAGGGGGAAAATTTGATTCCTGATAGGAGGTGAACAGGAGGTTGGGGCTACAGGCTGGCCACTCTGTTCTCCTCAGAGAAAGGGTACCAGCCTAGAACTATATCCACCCTACCTAAATATTGTTAGTCTAGGAGAAATCATTTTTAGGTTTAAGCTGTGCTCCTGATCTCTATCTTAAACGGAGAGGAGTGCCTCAAACTATATGCCTTTCCCACCAAAGGCCAGTTCTATGAACACACTTATCCAAGTTGACAGCAAATAAAAATCAGAGAAGGTATACAAATAAGTATCTATCAGCCTATTCAAAGGATAAATGAGCTTTTTCATTAAGAGCATGATATCTTAGCTCAACCAAGAGTCCCAGATCTCGTCGCAGGGGAAATTCTCCAAAGTCTCTATAGTAGTAAGCTGGAGATAGGGACATACAGAGATACTGGCTCTCCTACATGTTTTTTTTTTTTTTTTCTTTCCAGAGTCTTTCTTTCCTTTCAGGGACCTGAAAGACATCCTGGAGCCCTGTCTTCTCTCAAAGTGAAATCCAGAAGACCAGAATTTCTCTTTTCCCAACTTCTAATTCCCTAATGTCAGCACAGAACACTGAGTAATCTCCAGCAATGAGAATTTTATATGTAAGTTTTAGGCTTTGAGCCATAGGTTTCATACATATAAATAGGAATTATTAAAGTATGTTAAAATAACTGCTGAACCAAAAAGAAATGGGCACACAACTGCTAGTGATTTGTTAAATGGCCATGCATTTTAAATAAAAGTGGTCATGTATTTAACTAACTAGATGTGATTAGATTTTGCAGTACTTGGAAGATTGTTTATTGAAATACCAAGGTACCTAGTTCACTTTTTAGTCAGAGTGGATGCACCATTTCCTTACTTTGTTTTTTGAGTGCTGCACTAATTTGTTCTTAGTATTCATTGGCAGCTGGCAGACTTTAGCTTTGCTTTAAAGTATAGAGCCATCCATTTCAACAGATATTTATTAAGCAACTGCTTAATGTCTAACACTGTACAGGAAATAAAAAACAATGCCTACCCTTAAGGAGCTTACAAATATTGACAATCAAGTTTAAGAATTTAACATAATACTTTTTTGAAAGTCCCTTTCAGTTCTATAATCAGTGAGAAATTTATTCTCCCAAGTGAATTTGATGTTAGTCTTCTTTAGGAAGATAGTTTGAATACACAGGTTCCCTCATGATTATTTCTAAAGAGGAAGCAGTTAAGCTTTTAAAATAGAAGCTTCAGCAATCATTTCTCCTCCTCCCCTTCTCTGCAAAAGTGGGGAACTATGGGTGTGTAACACCGCATATAATGTCAGATTATTTTTTGATAGATTGAGTTTTTCTTCCTCTGTTTTTGGGGGTTCTTTACTGAAAGGGATGTCTCAGAGGGGAAGGGGAACTACATTGGGAAATGTAGGTTGTATAAAAACAAAAGATACTAACAAAGTGTGTTTAAAATTAAAAAAAAATAAGGTTCAAGCTTGGGAATTAAACTATACTGATTTGCCCCCTTTAAATTTTAGCGCTTTCAACACTTTTTTTTGTGTGTGTGGAAATAAGTTGGTTCTATGTTGATGAAGTATTTTAATTGAGTTAGAAACTTACAGTGACAGGCATGTAACTTGAGATCAAATACTTCTGAAGATACCAATCACTTTCACATTCCACTCCCTCACTGGACTGAGTTTTTATAAGGTAGAACTGCTTTTTTCTGGTTACAGAGCCACAGAGTCCAACTTAAGGGTCACCTCTTTGATTAAATGCCTTTTCTAATATCCCTGGCTTTAAGTTCTCTCTTCAAGTTTCTCAAAGCACTTTTTCTGAATATTACTTATATATTCTACATAGATGATAGTTGGATCCAGAGTTGTGCTGGTAAATTGCTTAATAAGTGGCTCTCAAAAATAAAAATTAAAAAAAAGAGCATTTACTTGACACTTTTACATTTAATCTGCATAATTAACATTTTCTCCATCACTTTCTTAAGTCTAGCCAACCAACAAAACAATAGTTATTGAGTTGCATCCAACTCTTCGTGACCCCATTCTTGGGAGGGTTTTTCTGGCAAAGATACTGGAGTGGTTTGCCATTTCCTTCTCCAGCTGATTTTACAGATGAAGAAACTGAGTTTTCCAGGTTCAAAGCCTAGTACTCTAACCACTGTGCCACCAAGCTGCCCAACAAAACAATAAATCAAGTCAATTTGTAGCTTGCTGAGTTCTAAGGTGCAAATGCCAGTTAAGATGATGATGGGTCTGCTCTGCCAAGCATTATGCTAGCACCGGGGATACAAAACCCGAAACAATCCTTAATTTATCTTGTCTGTAGTTATTTGCATGTTGTTTCCTCCGTTAGATTGTGAGTTCTTTGAGAGTATGGAATGTTTTTGTCTTTTATGACTAGTATTTAGCACAGTGCCTGGTACAAATAGTAAATGCTCATTGACTCGACAAATTTATATATCCATATGTTTATCTTAAGTGAAACAAACTTGGAACACGTTTTGGGCTGTTTTAAGAATCTAATGAAGATGTCATGGTCTAAGAGTTTTGGCATAGACTTGGAAAAAAAAGTGTTTTTATCAATAAAAATTATCTTTTTCCAACCTTCAGTCTTTGAATTGTCTTGCCCGTAACAAGTTTTTAATACATAGCCATGACTGGCAGCTGCTTTTCAAAAGTGATCTTGCCATTCTTTCAATTTTAAAAAGACTACATTGGATTGTGGAGGAATCAATAGTAACTCTTCCAGTTGTCATGTCCTTTAGGTCTTTTGCTTCTGGCACAGTGGACAGAGTGCTGGACCTAGATTCAGGAAAACCCGAGTTCAAATTTGATCTGTGGACAAGTCACTTAATTTCTCTGCCTTGGTTTCCTCATTTGTAAAAATAGGAAGGAAAAAAGCCATTTATTAAGCACCTACTAGATGCCAGGTGCTTTACAAATATCTCAACTGATCCTCACAGCAACCTTGGGAGGTAGATACTACCTTACTATCTTCATTTTACAGCTGAGCAAATGAAAGAAAACAGGTTAAATGACTTGTCCTGTGTCAAACAGCTAGTCTATGAAGCTGGATTTGAACTCAGGTCTTCCTGACTGGCCCTAGCCCTCTATCCATTGCACCATTTACATCATCAGATTGTTGTGAGGATAAAAATTTGTTAAAGTGTTTTGCATACTGTTAAGGTACTACATAAATGCTAGCTATTACTATTAATTAGGCTGTTTTGTAACAAGTTCATCTGTTTTCAGTTTTAAGAAAAGTTAACTCTGACCTTAGGTATAACTGATCCTGTTTCACTGTGAGCTTGAATGATTCTTGAAATGCTTGACTTCAGACCAAGAGCCAACACAATATCTTGAATGGTTATTGAAGTCTGCTCTTTGATAGCTACAAATTTAACCTATTTCTTTGGAGTAATATCCATTCATAAAACCACAGAACTTAAAATCAAAATCCACCTATGCCTGCCTTAATATGCTCTGTATCAATGTCTTCCCATAAACAGTCACCACAGGTCCACCCAGGATGCTGAGGGCCTTCCTTGTTTTCTCTTGCTGTCTCAGAATACCAAAGAAAAAGCTGCTCCTAAGTCATCCCTTGTTATGTGACCAACTAATCTTCTTAAATTATACCTTCTTCTGTTTGTAGTGCTTTTGCAGCCTCCTTCCAACCATCATGTTACCTCTCTACTGCCCTTTGGTTGATTCTTAACATTGCTTAAGTAATATTGGTATTAAAAAAATAAAAAGAAATGAGAACATGAACCTCCCTCATTGCTTTTGTGGGGAGATAGGGAATGGAGTATTTCACACTGTCCCCATTTGGTTGATGTCGTGGTTACTTTTTCTAAATGGTTTTCCATTATTTTAAAAAAAATTTACAGGGAACAATTCTGGGTAGAAGTAGGAAAGAGATACATGAAGAAATGAAGGTGATATAAAAAATTTAAAACAGTCAAATTTGAAGAAACCAAAGAGAAGGTCATTAAAACAACTTGGTGATTTCCTAAAAGCAATCCAGTTTGTTTTCCTCCTATTCAGTTATGGGCCCCACTTACTGTCCATTTGCTTGTCTTTAGCCTATAAACCCAAGCTCAAGCTATAAGGAAATGAAACAACACATCGCACAAAACTAGGTGCACTAAAATGAGTGGTGTAATCCTCGTAAAAAAATATTCCCTGTATTTGTTATAGTCATGTAGATACTTTGGATAGCAGATTTAACACATATCAATTGGGTAGTTGAAACAATTTTATAACACAGGTAGATTACAAACAGATTTGTGACAAAAATCTAGGAAAATTTCATTCACAAATCAGACAGCTTCTTTTCTGTTAAACCAAAATCACATTAACTTTACATAACAGAGGATAATTCAAGACTGTTGGCATTTCATACTTCAACTACATAAACACAATGAAATTTTCCAAGTACTTTATTGTTTCCACAATTTTTAGAAGTTTCATTGATGAGTTGTGGAAAAATGTTATTTTCAAACAGCTTCCTTCATAATCCTGCTTAGTTTCTGGATCTTGGTTCTTGCGGACATATCAACATATTTCTCTCCTATACGAACAATCATTCCTCCCATGATTGAAGGGTCAGTCTGAGAAAAGAATCAGTTATATTAAAAACGTAGAAAAATGTATATTGGCTTAATTCCATTAATCAACTAAAATAATGGTTCTGGAAGCACTTTGAGAAGTATTAAATGCAAACATGAAACAATATCTAAAAAACATACATTATTACTAAGATAAAACAATAATTTACCTGGAAAAATATATAAATCTTTATATGGAGACTTAAGAACATTGGGTTTTGGAAGATAAGATTTTTTTACATAAATGATATAAGTATGTCAATAGATGTATTTTATTTCATTTTTTAATTTGGCTTGAGGTAAAAAATGAAAAGTTAAAACCTACCTTAACCTCCATTTTCAGGACTTGGCCCTTCTTTAGGAAACTGTTCAGGACTGTTTTTAATTCTGAAAGAGTTGCGTCATCTAAAGTCTAAGATAGATGAAACCAAAGAAAAAGTGTTATTAAAAAAAAAAGACAAATCAAAATGGGAATGAAAGTTAGAATTTTATAATCTTAAAATACAGCAAGAGTCAAAGAGGAACAAAAAAGTACAATTTTATATCATCAAAACTTGCAACAACATTAATATGATTCAAATGTTCTACACTGTAGACTACAATACAGCCTGTTGTTAGATACTTATTAATGCTTTCTGTTGCATAGTAAACATTAAAGAGGGGGGCCCAGCCACTAAATGGTAAAAAGTTATTTTAACAACTCACATACATGTGAAATTTAGAATCCACAATTGTGAATAAACTCATCTACTGCTACTCATGAAGAGGTAGCATACATTCATGCTATACTCAGTGGACAAAGAACTAACCTTTCCTGCTAAGAAAATAATGCTCAGTAGAGAGATGAAGAATATGATGGAAGTGCAGTGTATGTCAGATGAAGCTCTTACGTCAGAAGGCTTTACTTAAATGTTTTTCTTTACTAAAAGGAAAGGTTTAGTGGTATAAGAAGTGTGTGGGGGGAAGGTACAGTGATAAAAGGGAAATAAGTGAGGTCATTGTATCATCAGGATCATAGACTAAGAGCTGGACAGGCCTTAGTAGAGGGCATCCAGTTCAATCCTCTCATCTTAGAGATGAGGAAGCAGAGCTGAAAAAGGTTAAGTGACTTGCCCAAGGTTACACAACTACTTAGTTGCTGAGGTAAAATTTGAAACCAGGTCTTCCTGAATTGAAGTCCAGTACTCTGGCTATTTTCTTAAAAAAGTAACAATAAAACTTTTTTGGTCTATCAACTTCCTATTCCTTATGGAGGTTAAAAAAAAAAAAAGAAAAAAAAGCTGGGTTCACAATGCCACTCTGTAAGAAAAATATAACTTTTTCCTATAATGACTTGAACAGCAGTACAATACATATAAATGAATCAACATAGCCAGAATAGTGGGTCCAAACTCCACTTTACCAAGCTAAAAGGCTTAATGGGCTATTAACCTAACCCATTTCCATCACAAAAGATTTTGCCTAAGTTATTATTGTGGTTTTTAAAAATATTATTTTTGTGCCATTTACTAGTAATGGAAATTTATGCCTTGTGCTATAGTGCTTTAAATACATTATCTCATCAGACCTTCATAACAACCATCCAAGACAGATACTACAAGTATAAACCCAATTTTACAGATGACATAACTGTGCAGAGGTACAATGACTTATCCATAGCCACATAACCATAGGGTTGATGTGAAGATCCAGAGATAATGTACATCATCACGCAAACTTTAAAACATTATGTAAATAAATGTCTGAGGAAGGATTTGAACTTAAATCTTTCTGATTTCAACTTCCAAAATTCAATCTGTGGCCACATTGCCTCTTTTCATGAACAGGTTTGAGCCTACTATGTTTCTATAGTGAAAAACTTTAAAACCACTTAAATAAAAAAAAAAAAAAACAAACAAAATAAGAAAACACTTAATTTAAACCCTATAATATCAACAAGCCACACACTACCTAGAACATCTTCATTAATTATCAGTGTTTCTCCCTCTAGAATGTTTCAGGGGCAAAAGGAGGGAAGCTTGCAAAAATTTCATTCTACAATGTTCTGGGCCTCTGTAACAATAATATTCCTGTATTTCTGAAAATCTGTAAGAGTTCAGCAAGCAGAGTAAGAGCTGGAAAGAAACATTAGTTATCAGAAGTGCTTAGGACCAGCAAAAGTAGCTTATCTGAGGATAAAAGATATCTCCGGGTTGGCTGAAGGCCACCTTTTTTAATTTGCTCATTTTTACTGAATTACCCTAGTTTTGATGTTAAAGCTAAAAAATTGACAAGCCATTACTTACAGATGCAGTAGTAACTGAACACTGTACTTCTCCACGATGCACACTCATCATGGTAGAAAATGCTGAAATGACTCCTGGGGTATTGTTTAAGCGACCATTTTCAGCAAGCAATTCTATAAGAGATAAAAGCATTGCAAGGTGACTAATTTACATAAGTAACAAGTCACTGAAAAGGTTCATGTTAGCCTCAAGCACAAAATTTTAAAAACTATGTAAAATGCCATTATCAGGTGACCCAAAGAAAGAACACTGTACAAAGAACTAAGATCTACTCTACAATCTGATTTTCTTATCAACTTCAATATCACAATAGCATTTAGATCATCTATATGTGAAATAGAACGACAGACTGATTTTCATCAAAACATGTCCGTTAATTTTTCAACGTGTGGTTAGGATTTCTGATGAACTAGACACATTATTTTCTGGACCCCACCTAAATCTAACACATATGAAAGACAGCTGGCTAAGACAAGGGGTGGGGGGAAAGGGAACAGGTTTTCGTTGAACATCAATGATCCACAAATCATCCTCCAGGAACCAATGATGTAGAACATTTTGATTTTCAACTAGGAGAGGAGGGTCACAAAAATCTAATACTTTATTGTTTAAAGTATTCTCTAATGAAGAAAATCTGTCTGACCAAAACAGGAACTGAGCCTGCAACCTTAACTAGTTATTAAGCACTTAATATTTCACGTGTAATTTTTTTTATTAAGATCATTTTAAATAAAAAGACTATACAAATACTTACTCATGAGGTTGGTTGTGATGGGGGAAAATTTCTCTTTCGCTATTATGTCACTTAGGGTTTTTATCTTAATAGAACGCTTTATATGGGGATTCATAATAGAGTCAATCATTTTGGGATCCTTCAAAAGTTTCTGAAAGTAAAACATAAATTTTGTTAACCATTTAGAGCACAAACACAGGGTCCAGTTTACATGCAACTTATACCTCAATAATTATACTTTGCCTTTTAAGATATGTCTGAACACAACTTTGACCACACAAATTCCAAACAAAGACTATACTTTACTTTGAAAGATTCACGATTAAAAAGTGGATGCTTTCTTTCTCAGAAATCATCATTAGGACTAACACTTCCCTTCAGATCCTAATGGAGGTGCCCCAACACTCAAGGAGTAGCAGCAATTCCTAGATAATCACAGTCCCTGCCTCTAATCAACACTTGCTTCTATCTACCAGGAAAGCAACTAGGGAAAAAAAAAAGAAAAAAAAGGGGGCCCTCAGTCACAGTAACAAAGAGGTGGGAAGCTACTACCACCCTGCACAGAGACACTGTCTTTGTCAGCACTGCAGCTTTCACCTTAGCTGCCACAAACACTGAAAATCCAAAGGAGAAAATTCTCATCACCAAAGTCCCTGGTACTGTCAAAGTGTTCTTACCAGAAAAGGATACAGTAGGAGGGTAGAGGCAAGATGGTGGCATAGAGGAAGCACTACAATCTAGCTCTCCCAAGATTCTCCTCCAAACAACTTTAAAATAATGCCTCAAATCTAATTCTGAGGAATAGTCAACAAAAGGCCCAGATGAGGCATTTTTCTAACCTAAAATCACTAGGAGTTCAGAAGGAGAGGTTTGTGACACTGGGGTTTGGACCAAAGTACATGTGGTGGCAACATTAGCTGTGAGCCTTGAAAGTAACTATGACAGAAGCAGCAGCAGTTTTGGGAGTTCTTAGTACAAAGACAGTAAGGCGACTGGACAATTGATCAGAAAGAGATTAGAAGGGATCTCTGTGTTAGCACTGTGCCTAGGACCAGGTTCTATTTGGCAACCTCATTGCCCAAACCCACTTCTGGGCTGCAATTCCAGGGTAAAGAGTAACACTTGCAGTTGCAAGGGAGCAAGAGTCCTTGTTGGGTAAGGACCAGAGAACAGACTAGAGAGCAGCAATCACACCTCTCCCCAGATCATACCACCTTGGAAGAACTGAAAATGTACAGACATCAGAACTAGTTGTGAAAAAAGCAGGGCAAAAAAGTCTAAAGCTTGGCTGTGACAATTTCCCCTGCCAGATGAGCAGAGCCCAACATTAAAATAATTCCTGGAATAGCTAAAAATGATTTTAAAAATCAAGTAAGAGTGGCAGAGGAAAAACTGGAGAAAGAAATGGGAGTGATGCAAGAAAATTATGAAAAGCAATTAACAGCTTGGTGAAAGAGGCAACAAAAAATACTGAAGAAAACACCACCTTAAAAAACAGAATTGGCCAAATGGAAAAGGAGGTACAAAAGCTCGCTGAAGAAAATTACTCCTTAAAAAGTATAAATGGGCAAATGGAAGCTAGTAACTCCATGAGACATCAAAGAAACAATGAAACAAAGTCCAAAGAATGAACAAAAAAAAAAAAACAAAGAAGAAGAAGAAGAAGAAAACATGAAATATCTTGTCAGAAAAACTGACCTGGAATATAGATTGAGAGATAATTTAGGATTATTGGCCTACCTGAAAGCCATGATTTGGAAAAAAAAAAAAAAAAAAGTCTAGACATGTTTCAAGAAATTATAATGGAAAACTGTTCCGATATCTTAGAACACAAGGAAAAACAGAAATGGAAAGAATCCACCAAACACCTCCTGAAAGAAATCCCAAAATGTAAACTCCCAGGAATATTATAGCCAAATTGCAAAGCTCCCAGGTAAAGGAGAGAATACTACAAGCACCCAGAAAGAAACCATTTAAGTACTGTGGAGTTATACTCAGGGTCACACAAGATTTAGCATCTATTATATTAAAGGAGCAAAGGGCTTAGAATAAAATACATTTTGGAAATGAAATTAAACATTAACAGAAAACAAAATAAAAGCTACAAAAGGAAGGTAATTTCTAACAGACTAAACTATAACACATTCCAAATGCCAAACGTTTTTTAATTATCTACAAATGACAATTTAACTGAAAGAAAATACAAAATAACAGTTTAGATGCAAATTAAGAACAGAGAAAGACTACTTACTGTTACTCTAAGTAGCTCCTTTTCTACCACATCCAGTTTATTCTGCTTAGATGCAGCAGAATAAAGAGCAGTGGCATATCGACCTTCTAGACCATACACTTGAACTGGAGGCTTAAAAAGAAATGAGGAAAGAAAATCATTCAAGGTAGCTACTACTAAGCTTTCAATACCAGAGTTAAAGTTTTAAGTCTTGTTATGTATATTGTAAAAGTTTAAGCTAATTATTATGAATGTGGGAAAGTCAATGAACTTTTCTGGGCCTCAGTTTCCTTTTACAGAAGATGAGAAAATCTGACGAGAACCTTTAAAATGCTCTGATTCTAAGATGATCAATTCATTATGGGCTGTTTTATATTTGCTATTTCTAATAATAGTTATATCCCCAATGACATAAATGACAGAAAATAAAGATCCAGCTGTATAAAAATATTTCTGGTATTTGGCAATAGCAAAAATCTCAAAAAAAAAATCCAGATGCCCACTGAATGGGGGAACAGTTGAATAAATTTTAGCATACAAATGTAATACTAATTGTTTCATTTATTTAATGCCTACTATGTGCCTGTAAGTGGACCAGGAGCAGGGATTCAAGATTTCGCCCTGGAGAAGCTTACATTTTAATGGAGAGGATTCGTATACATATAAAGTAAATACTAGGCAATTTTAGGATGAGCACCAATAACTGGGGAGACAGAGGAAGTAGCACTCTTTACAAAGGAAGTTGCTAAGGACACTAAAAGGCAGAGGTGAGGGGAGTGTGTTTCAGGTATAAGGAAGAACCTGTACAAAATTATGAGAGATGGAATGTCAAGTTTGGGGGAGCAGCTGGTAGTATAGTTTGGCTGAAAAACAGAATATATGAAGAGTATTATGAAATGTCTGGAAAGGTAGATGAGAGCCAGGGGGTAGGGAACATTAGATCAGTATCAGAAAGGTATGGTTTCATGTACAACCATCTTCTGTTTTACCTTTTGCTCTTGTTTATATATCAAAATACACTCACACTTGTTACCAGAGGTAAAAATAAAATATTTTGTTAAAAAAAATTTAATAAAAGGACTTTTAGGAACAACCTAGTCTAACATTTTCATTTTATAAATAAGAAAACTGAGATAAGAGAAGCTAGCCCTCATTGTACACAGAAGCAGGTTTAAGAAACATACTTAAAAGCATAAATTTACATTATGCATAATATTGGCATAGAATATATTAATAGTATTATAAATATTATTTTTACAAAATTATCTTACAATATTATTTATAACAAAATTTATGACAGCATTCCCTAAATTTTCCCTTTTGTATAATGCTCACACTCTATGTCCAATTTAACTTACCTTTTGGTCACTTATTAAGCCTATTACTCACATTAGTTTTTCATGATAAATTATAATATCCCATGGCAATCAGTTGAAGGAACTGGAGATATTTAGCCTAGAAAGGAAAGCTAATCTCAAAGTCAAGACGACTTTGATTCAGGACCTGCCTCTGACACATATTGGCTGTGACCCCTCTGAGACTACATGTTGCAGAGGGAGTTTCCAGGCAATAAAAAGGATCTGAAGTGTTGTCATGTGGAAAAGGGAATATACACTTTAACTGTTTTACCCCAAAACACACAACTAGGAGGAATGAGTAGAAATCATAAGGAAGCTTATTTATCCATTAAGGATAAAAGGAAATACATCTTAGTAATTAGAACTATCCAAAAGTGGAATGAGCTTCTCAGGAGGTGGTGGGAGATTTTCATTCAAAGGCTGGATGACCATTTAATGGAGAATGTTGTAGAGGGAATTCATTTTCAGGTATAAGTTGGATCAGATGGATTCCAGGGTTCCTTCCAACTTGGGACTCTATAATTATCTTAATGTTTAAAAAAAATTAAATAATGGCAAAGCCTGGCAAATACTTTAAAAATTCAATGGGGAATTTGCAAAATAAAAATATGGAGAGTAAGAGGTTTGTGTATGGAAATGGTATTGTGATAAAACATGCACAAACCAGATGTTTTGATAGGCAAATACTGAAAATTAAAATTTGAAATATTATACACCTGCTGATAAACCATTAGTTGCCACCTATGAACAACTGCAATCATCTAGCAGAGTGACTTCTTTCTTTAAGAACACTATAGGCCATGAAATGTCAAATACAGACAAGGTTATAGACAGATCCAATCAATGTAACTTAGTGTACCATACTGCAACTCAGTTAACAGTTACAAACTCTTGATTAGGGTAAAGTATAGCCAAGTAATTAAATAAACATACCCTGACAAGTTTAGCAAATGGTCTGCTCACTGAAGTGGTGAAGTGGCGTACCTTAAAGACAAAAGAAAATAAGGTAAAATGTTTACTTGAAGACTTCTGTAAATAAAATTGTGGAAAAACTGAATATGCGAGGCACCGTTTACTCAGACCACTTTGAGGATAGAAAAATAGAGTCAAATCTTCATCATTTAGTAGCGTTATGTAACTTGTTTGTGAAGACTTTCCTGGTTCCGCAAGTTCCTTGTGTTTTTTTGTCCCTAACTATCTTGTAGTTAGTGTGTGTACGTTGGTTGTCCTCCCAGAACACAGGCTACTTAAGGGCAGACATTTTTCCATTTCTGTCCTTGAATCTCCAGGGCCTAAATATAGTAAGCACTTAATAAATGTTTGCTGACTTGTGAAGCACCCTAGGTAGTACCAAAATTTCTTTCCTCCAAAATCCAGCCTGGGCCAGTTTTCTAGGAGGGAGGTGAAGATGTGCATACACAGAAACATTAAGAGTTATTTGAAGATGTATATTTCAAACAATTTCAGACTTTGGAGTTTATATTAACATTCCTTAAAGTAGGGGTTCTTAATCTACTTTCTTTCTTGGACTCTTTGGTAGTCTGGTAAAAGCTATGAACTTTTCAGAATGTAATTTGTTGCCTCCGTTCATAATTAAATGAAATACTAAATTTTAGATAAAGGTTAGTGAAAATATAGATGCAATCTTTTTCCTAATCTAAGTTCAAGGACTCCCCTGAGACTGACCCATGGACTGTGGTAAGCATCCACGCCTACAACTTGGCCAGGCTCAATTCAATAACTGGAGAAACTGGATAGTTCTGGAAGTGGTATTCTGAATACTAGATAAACCCTCATGCTGAAGAATCTAGAAGAGATTATGAAAATAATTTGGTAATATTATAGCACAATGGGCCTTGATTCTGAGAAATTAATAATTGTCAATACTGAAAATAAGATCCTTGAAGTAAAGAGCTAAGATCCCTTTCTTATTAATATGTTCACTGACAGAGTATTTCTGGATTGGTAAAACTAAATTCCTCTAGTAAATGTTAAAGGACAGCTGGCTGTAGAATTTGCTACAATTCAACAAACATTCAGCACCCACTGTATACAGTAAAAAAAGATTAAAACGGTTTAATGAGGGCATAGTTTAGTATACAGGAATATAAAAATAAATATAAGACAAAATGGGAGATGGCAAGTAGTAAAGTTTGGCTGAAAAATAAAGTGGGTGGATCAGAGGCCTTGAATACCTGGCTGAAGGTTTAAAATTGTGTAAAGGTAATAGGGAACCACTGAAGGATTTTTAACCCAAAAAGTTGTATGACCAGATCTTATTACTAAAGATAAGGAAGATTATTTGAGCAACAGTATGAAGGACAAACTGGAGAAAGGAGCAGAGCCTTCAGCAATACTGTTAAGACTTTTCAAACAGTTCTGGTAGATGACAGGCTGTGTGCTAGGGTGGGATGGCAAAGGTAAGAGAGTAGAAAGAAACTGTAGAGACAGAATCAACAGTATCTGCTAATCAATAAGCCAACAATATTTATTAAGGGTTTACTGTGTGCCAGGCACTACAAAACACTGAGGATACAAAATAAAAAAAAATTATACAGTCCCTGACCTCAAGGAGCTCATATTTTTCTATCAGGAAAGACAATATGTACACAGAATAGGTGCTGCAGGAAAAAGACTAATGGATGAAAAGGCAAAGAGCAATTTCCAAGTGGATAATCTAGTAGTGAGACTGATGGAAAAATTAACAAAAAAAGCCAACCCATTGAATGTTAAATACTTCAAAGGAACAAGAAACAAAAAACTAAATGAAAAGAGAGCAAGATAATAAATTCTATAGATTTCTCAGAGATCATGGAACAAAAGTAAAAAACTCAAAATGGACAGAAAAAAAAATAATACTTTAAAGAAAGAAGGCAAACTAGAAGATAATAGGGTAGGATGACCCTTGGTAGCACAGTGGATAGAATGCTGGACCTGGAGTCCAGAAGACCTGAGTTCCACTGAGACCTCAAACACATATTTACTAGCTGTAACCCTGGGCAACGTAACCTGTTTGCCTCAGTTTCCTTATCTGTAAAATGGGGAAGATAATAATAGCACCTACCTTCCCTGAAGAGTTGTCAAAACAAAATGAGATATTTTAAAAGCACAATATAAATGCTATTATTAACTACTTTTTGTATGGCTACATGCACATACATTCTCTCTCTCTCTCTCTCTTTTTTTTGGCTAGGCAATGGGGTTAAGTGACTTGCCCAGGGTCACACAGCTAGTGTTATGTGTCTGAGGCTGTATTTGAACTCAGGTCCTCTTGAATCCAGGGCCGGTGCTCTATCCTCTGAGCCACCGAGCTGCCCCCTATATATTCTCTTTGTACATTATATATGTGTATATATGAATCTATACACAACGAATGTGTGTATACATATGAATATATGAATTGTTTATGTATATGAACATATGCTTATACATATATTACTACTACTTACTGAGCATCGCTACTTAATATATAAAAGTATATTATTAACATACTTCTATTACTCTATATAACATCTATAATTAAGAGAAGTACATTCTTATTTAGCATACATTAACATACACATACATACAGTATGTACATATACACACAAACATAGGCACTAGTCTTTCCCCCATCAGACACCAGAATGTAAGCGCTTTGCACATAGGGGTTGTTTCATTCTTTGTATTTTTTATACCCAGTGCCTAGTCTCTCACCAAGTGAGAGGCAGTCTTGAAAACTGGGAGTGACTATAGTGGAGGAAAAGGTGATCAGCAGTGTCAAACACTTCGGTCAAGAAAGATGAGGACTGAGGGGGAAAAAAGGTCATCAGATCTGTCAATTAAAGAGAACTTGGAGACAGACCGTGGTGTAGGGCAGAGTGCTGGATTGGATGTAAGAGTCAGAAGACCCGGGTTCAAACCTGCTTTTGCTGTGTGACCCCTGGCCAAGCCACTTAAACCTTTCTAGGCCTGGTTCTTGCTCATCCGGCTTCTAAGCTTCCTCCCAATCTCTGAGGCAGGACCGGACGGGGGAGGAGGGGGAGAAAGAGGAATCCTTGGCAAAAGCAGCCCCCTGCCCCTCCAGGGAAGCCACCTCCTCCGCCGGGGCCTAAGGCAGGCGACACCGCACCGCCCTTTCTCTACTACTAAGCCCCCGGCCGTCTGGTGCTTTGCGGGAAGCCCCCAAGGTCACCGCCCCGCCAGGCCTTTCTGGGGTCCTCCGCCTCCAGCCCCGGGGGGGGGGGGCCGCAGCCGGTGGGGTAGGGGAGTAGGAGCGCGGAGGAGGGGAAGGCGCCAAAGCCTAGCGCTCCCCGAGGGCGTCCCCTCCTCTCCAGCCAAGGAGAGGCGGGAGACGGCGGAGACCCAGGAGCAGGGGACAAGCGGGGACGACTGACACTTCCTGTGGGGATGGGGGGGGCGTCGCGGGTAGAGGACCCCATCACAGTCACCCCGAAGAAGAATCTCCTCTTTTCCCAGCTCACCTGCCGGAGCATCCCGGATGCACCGGGCGCCGCCATCTTCTCCTGTGGTCGCTGTAGGTCAAACCGGAGCTCAGAGCTAGGAGGAGGAAGTGACTTGTGAGAGACGCATGCGCAGGACAACAATTCCCCCGCCTCTCGGCCCGCGCCGCGTGAGGTGATCCTGACGTGACGCAAGAGCAGTACACTGGTGCTTCTTGGGAATTGTAGTTTCCCAAAAGTAGGCGGACAAGGCTCGAGAGAAGGGCCTGCCGGGATTGAAGGTGGGGGCGCGGCGGGGTGGGGCGGGACCGACTTGAGGCTGTACTAAACCAAGGGGCCTCTGAGGGGAGCAGTCGCGCTAAGAGCTGCGACAATGGGTGGATTTGCTGTGGCTGAATTTTCATTCTTGTCTTGCTAAACATTGAAAATAGTGCAATTTCACACTCTCTACCACCAAAAAGAAATTTAATTAATATACGTTTGTGCGGCGTGTAAAGGGAATAAGCATTTAGATACATGTGCAAAGAGCTTACGTTCTAGGTTCTAATGGGGAAGCAGGAGACAAGTGTGAGTGTATGTGTGTGTGTGTGTGTATAGAGTCCATTGGTGGCAACCTGAGGCCACATGTGGCCCTCTAGGCTCTCAAGTGCGGCTCTTTGACTGAATCCAAACTTCACAGAACAAATCCCCTTAATAAAAGGGTTGTTCTGTAAAACTTGGACTCAGTCAAAAGATGGTGCCCAGGGCCACAGGGGCCTCCAGGCCGCAGGTTCCCCACCCCTGAATACACACAAACTGTATGTGTGTTTATGTATATATACATATAATTATAAATATCTCTTTTGATTTCACAAAGACCCTGCGACATAGGTGCTATTATTCCCATTTTGTAGTTGAGGAAACTGAGGCAAACTGGGACTCTCCCAGGATCACAAAACTAGGAAGTGTCTGAAGTTGGATTTGGACTCAGGTCTACCCTAACTCCAGGCCCAGCATTCCGTCGATTGCACCACCAGGTTTCTCTTTCGGTGGATAATAACAGAGGAAACAATCCAGCCATATGATTGAACAAAACAGATATAATACAAGGGTTAGTGGATTCTCCAGTGAGTGTCCAAAGAGCCTGAATACAGATTGAGACAGATTTTTATGTATTAAAAACAATCAAATAAGACCAATTAATTAAAAGAAAACAATTAACTAGGATACAGAATTGAGTAATTTGATTTCTAATTAGAGGAAAGGTTAGGAACTTTCCAAGTTGGGAGGGGGAGAGAGAACAGGTGCAATTCTCTGATATCAGAAAAAAAGGTTCTCAGATCCCCCCAAGTTGCTCCTTCAATCAAAGGAGCATGGAAACAATAACCAATTGACCTGCTCAGGGCCATTTTTCAGAGAAGACATGTGGATTACTTAAAATGAATAATTGTGAGAAAACTCATGAGAAAACTCCTTGCATCAATCTTCCATTTCTGACTGGGTTTCTGCATAACTTGGGTCCTTAGTTAAGGGTCTCTGAGCAACAGGTAGAGGTGGTCCAGGTTCCCAGTGACACAGGACTAGGTTCAAACAATGTTTATTTACAATTCCCACAATGAATCAAGTTTTCTCGCAAGATAGAAACTGGACTAGCCCCATAATTGACTAGAAAGGGAACTGAGCTATCTACAGAATGGGATCACAAGATGGAGTCAGTGTGGTTCAGTCAATTCTCACTCTCCTAAGAATAAAGATTTAAACTTGTGCTTTCATTAGCACCATATAGGGAAATATTTGGTGAGGGAAGGCTCACCTGCTCAGAGATCTGTAGTTTCAGAGTTGCCTAGGGCAATGAAGTGGTCAAGTGGTCAGTATGAGACAAAGGCAGAGCTTGAAGCCAGGTCTTACTGACAAACGTGGACCCTGCGTCAAGAATTTATAATCTAAGCTGGGACCCAGAAGAGAGTACTGCAGGTGTTTAATAAAATATTTGTAGAATGAATGTTCCTTGAGATCAAGGACTGTCTTTTGCCTTTTTTTGTATCCCCAGTACTTTAGAACCATGCCTCGCACATACTTGGCTCTTAAGAAATGTTTATTGACTGACAGATTGAATGAAGGATACGCTTCTATTGCCCATTTTTGTACCTATAACAACTGCTTTAGCTAACAAAGGTATTACCCCATATGGTATCAAAATTTGTTGTTTTAGTGTGTATTTGAAAATACTGTGCCTTGTGCTATTTATTGCTTCTGGTAAAAATCTGGTTGTTTAAGAGATTAAAGACAGGGACTCATATTTGAGAGTATAAGGATATCAGATTGAAAGTCTGACATTGTCACAATGTGTCTACATTATGTGTAACCCTCTTTGGGGGAATTTTCTTACTCATGGTTCGTAACTTCCCAGGAAATCTCACATGGTTCTTCTTACAGATAATGCTTCTCTTTTCTCACTTGTAGGATCAGAGTTCTTTCTTTTTTTTTAATTAAATAGTATTTTCTTTTTTCCCATTACATGTAAAGATAAATTTAGCATTCATTTAAAACATTTTAAGTTACAAATTTTCTCCTTTCTCTCTTACCTCCTCCATCCCTAAGATGGTAAGCAATTTGGTAGAGGTTATATATGTGCAATCACGTAAAACATTTCCACGTGAATCATGTTGTGAAAGAAGAAACAGATCAAAAGAAAAAAAACACAAAAAATAAAGGGAAAATGCTATGCTTTGATCTGCATTCAGACTCCATCAGTTCTCTCTTTGGAAGTGGATAGCATTTTTTTAACATGAGTCTTTTCGAATTGTCTTAGATTGTTGTGTTGCTGAAAATAGCTAAGTCATTCATAGTTGATCATTGTACAGTGTTGCTGTTACTGTGTACAGTGTTCTCCTGGTTCTGCTCATTTCACTTTGCATCAGTTCATGTGAGTCTTTCCAGGTTTTTCTGAAAGCATCCTGCTTGTCATTTCTTATAGCAAAACAGTATCCCATTGCAATCATATATCACACCTTGTTCAGCCATTCCTCAATTGATGGGCATCCCCTCAATTTCCAATTCTTTGACATTACAAAAAGAATTGCTATAAATACTTTTGTACAAGTAGGTCCCTTTTCCCTTTAGCCTCAGAATTCATGACATTAAAGAAGAAATTATTTTTCAAAGGAGGAAGACACAAGGAAGGCCTTTGTCTGAAAGGGCTACTTAAATTCTCAATTCTTGCCAGAGGCAGGTTCCTGTCTCTGCTACCCATAAAGAGGAAGGTAACCAGCAGAAGTATGAACTCCACTGTGAATCATTTGCTCATTTTATCAACAGATAGACTCAAAGACTTCATCACATCCTCCCAAACCCTATAATTGTACCCTTCAGTTTCACCCCTGTCAAAACGCTTACAGTAGAGCTATCTCAAGGTCGTTGTCTGGATCAGAACCTTTTTTCCAGGCAGCTTCAGAAAGATTTATCTGACACTAGGTGGCGCCATTTGCCGGTTCACAGAGCCCTGGTACAGTAGAGCCCTTTATTCTGACTATGGTAGAATTGGGTGAGATTTTAGAACACCTGGTCCCGTTGGATAGACCCATGGTCTACAGGTCAGGAAACAGGCCTGGAGAAACATAGTGACTGTAAAGTCCAGATCTCGCATTATCCAAGTGATTGTGTCTCTTCTGTCTTGATGATACATCTGTTGTGAAACTTCAATGGGGAAAAGAAGGGAAGGTTTGGTCTCATTCTAGAATGTAGTTAGTACATCCTTTATCTCCATCCTATTGATGGAGGGAAAACAAATTGAAGAATCACCACTAGAATATTTTATTATTTTAATGTACAACTTAAACACTAATAACAGCTCACATTTATGTAGCATTTAGTTTGCAAAATGCTTTTATGTACATTTGACTCTTACAACAACTGATGAAGTGGAGTGCTATTATTATCTCTATGCTACAAACAAGGAAACTAAGGCTTGGAAAGATTACAGAACTTTCCCAGAATCACACTGCTTGTAGGTGTCTGAGGTGGGATTCAAAACCTGACTTATTCCTGACTTTAAGCCTAGCACTCTATACATAAAGCAATGTTGCCTATGGCTATATTTCAGTGGTCCTTTCCACTGTTGCAAGAATTTTCAGGGTCCTTGATAACCACTGCACGAATAAGCCAGCACAGGTTACAGATAGACAGGTGCACTGCAGTCTATTTAACCACTTAAGAGTGACATACATAATCATTAGGTGAGGGATAGGTGTGTCTCACAAGTCCACAGATAATATCTATATCTATCTTTTATCTATATCTATATCTCTACATCATATCTATATAGTCTCCCCTGAGTTATGTGACCCAGAGTAGGGAAAGATCAGCTAGGGCTTGCAAAGCAGTTTGGAGTAAGATCTGGTAGGGCACATAGACAGGAAAAGATATATTTTCAGCAAAAGAAAAAGAAAATTCAAACTGTTACAAAGATCGTTAGCTTAGCCATTTTTACCAGACCAAAGAAAATAGAACCTTCTTTATCAGTCAGTTAGTTAATTAGCATTTGTTGAACTACTGTTGCTGCTGTGGCAGCTAGGTGGCCCAATGGAAAGGTCTGACTCTTTGTGACCCCCATGGGCCATAGCACCTAAGCTCAAATTTGACACCTGTGTGACCCTGTGCAAATTCAGACACCTGTGTGACCCTGGGCAAGTCACTTAACCGTGTTTGCCTCAGTTTCCTCATCTGTAAAATAAGCTGGAGAAAGAAATGGCAAACCACTCCAGTATCTTTGCCAAGAAAACCCCAAAGGGGGTTGCAAAGAGTAGGACATGATTAATAACTAAACAACAACAAGGAATTCTCCCACTTCTCTGTAGTCTATCTAGATAGACTACAGAGAAGTAGGCAAATTCCTGGGACTATTCAAAGTCCTGTGAGTTTTTTTTGGCAACTGTAAAGTGATTGGAGTTAGAGGGTACTGAAGGAGACATTCAATACATTTATATAATAGCAAATACAGCACAAAATGTAGTCAGTTATATTCTCCCCGAAATTTTAGTAGGTATCTGAGGTGGGATTCAAAACCAGTTCTTCCTGACTCTAAGCTCAGCATTCTCTATATAAGTCAATTCTACCTATACTTATATTTCAGTGGTCCTAAACTATA